AAATAAGTAAGCCGGGCTCTGAGGCTCAGCCTGTAATCCCATGATTTGGGAGGCCAAGGTGAGTGGATTGCCTGGACCCGCGGGTTCGAGACCTGCCTGGGGAACTTGGCAAGACCTCATCTCTACAATAAATCAAAAAATTAGCCGGACGTGGTAGCACGCGCCTGTAGTTCCAGCTACTTGGAAGGCTGAGGTGGAAGGATTGCCGGAGCCCAGCAGGTCGAGGCTGCAGTGGCCAGGAGTGGCCACTGGACTCCAGTCTAAGTGACAAAGTGAGACTCCAACTCAAAAAAAAAAAAATCACACTTTAAAAACTTCCTAGAGTAGCAGGTACTGATAGAAAGTACAAATGCTCCTTGATTTCTGATGGGGTCACAGCCCAATAAACCCACTGTAAGCTGAAAATTTCACAGGTCAAAGTGCATTTACTATGCCTTGATGACCGAGCATCCTGGGTTAGCCCAGCTTGCCTCAGATGTTCTTGGAGCACCTCCATTAGCAAACAGTTGGGCAGAATCATCTAGCACAAAGCCTGTTTTACAATCAAGTATGGACTATCTCATGAAATGGAATTCTGTATGGAAAGTGAAAACCAGAGGGGTGGTGCAGGACTCGAAGTGTGGCTTCTACTGAATGTGTATCACTTTTTTTTTTTTTGAGTTGGAGTCTCACTCTGTTGCCCAGGCTGGAGTGCAGTGGCACACTCACAGCCACCCCAGTGTGGACCCGCTGGGCTCAGGTGATCCTTCCACCTCAGCCTTCCAAGTAGCTGGAACTATAGGCATGTGCTACCACATCCAGCTAATTTTTTAATTTATTGTAGAGACAAGGTCTCACCAAGTCGCCCGGGCTGGTCTTGAACCAGTAGGCTCAGGCAATCTACTCACCTTGGCCTCCCAAAGTGCTGGCATTACAGGCTAAGCCACCAAGACTGGCTTGAATGTGTATCACTCTTAACAACCATGGTAATCGAGACCTTATGATGTATTTCCAGTAATCCAGAAGACCACATGCACTGAGTACTCAGGAAAGCCCTGCAAAGGCCCTGAGCTCTCACCTCTGACTGACCTTGAAACTGCACAAGTGGGAAGTCAAAGTGGCTGGTGGCTGCCAGGGCCAGGGGTGGGGCGGAATGGGGAGGTGGTGGAGTGACTGCTCAAGATGTGTGGGGCTTTATTTTGGGCTGATGGAAATGTTTTAGAATTAGACAGAGATGGTGACTGCATATTATGGATATACTAAATGTCGTTGAATTGCTCTTGGGCACACGGGGTGCTGGTGGTGATTGGGCACCGCCTGTTAGACTTCAGGCCAGAGAGAGTCCTGCTGGGGGCCGCCATGTCAATGCCCACATCCAGCCCACCCCACATTGCCTTCCCCTCCTCCCTCCTCTTCTGTCAACTGGGGGCAATTGACAGTGCCTCCTCCAAGGGTCCATCCACCAGGGCCACACCAGACCAAGCCAAGCTTGGTGCCTGACACACAGGAAACGTCAAATCACCTGCATGTGGCCTTGCTCTGATTCTACACCGGACCCTGCTGCCAATATCTAAGGCTGAAGGGGGAAAGGACTGAGACTCCCTGGTGGCATCTGTGACCCCCATCCTGTCTTCCCTCACTTCAGCAGGTTCCACGCCAAGGAGAAGAGCCTTCAAGGAGCTGCCTCTACCGTCACGGGATCTAGGGAAAAGGAAGTCCAGGAGACTGGAGCCAACCCTTCAGTTTTCTTGGGTCACTTGAAACAGGAAATGTAATCACATGTCTCATGTTTCCCCTGCATTTTTATGAGTGTGCAATAATCCTGCAAAACAGGGAAGACAGCAAGAAAAAACAGACACGAGAGGCACAGCCCTTAAACCAAACTCACAGCTTATGTACGAGACTCACGGGGGCAATATTCTGGTGGCCTCTCTCCAAGGATTGGGAAATCAGACTGTCTTCAAAGAGTTCAGCTGTAGACTCAGCATGAGACAAAGAGACATACGAAGACATTGGAAAAAGAGAAAGTGCAGGACTTGGCTGGAACCTAACTGAGGATATTAACTTATCTGAAAAAATGCCATGAGTGTTGGAAGGGAGGAGGGGGTGGGTGGTTGAATGGAAAAGGTAGCCGAGGTCGGGGTGAGGGCTGCTGAGGGGCACACCTCCCTCTGGTTTGGACAGACCGGCCACATGCTCCAGGGGAGGAGCCAGGGGCAGGCAGGGCCTGGTGCCTAGACATTAACCCTCCGGCTGGGCCCCGAGCAGTGGCCTGTATCTTCTGCTCCCCAGTGCTTTCTCACAGATTTGAATTTGCTAGTTGGGATGAAGCATTTGGTACTTTGGCATTTGTGTTTCACAACGCACATTAATGAACTGGCATGCTCATTTGCACGTCAGCCTCTGGTGAGCTTGAGTCACGTAAACTAACCCCTAGAACAAGGATGCCTTCTTGGCATGATGGCAAAACCGAGCTTCTGGGACAGGGGGAGCCTGCTCAGAAGGGCACCCCCCCAGGGCAAATGCCCTAAAATGCCCAGACAGCCACTGGGATGCGGCCCTTGTGCGCACCTTCCAGACCATTGGCCAGGAACGTCACCATTTTTTTTCATGCTCTAAAATGCTCTACAAATCTGAACATCTAAGAGCTAGTATCTGATATGTATTTCATGCACTGCACTCCGGGCCTGGAAGTTCTAAACAATGCAATAATTTATTTTTGCAATGTCCTTATCTTCTGTGAAACCTGTCTCAGACTTCCTTCTGCAAACCTATCTGGATGCAAACCTTCATTCTTCAACAGCACAGCTCAGCAATTATGGTTTGTAATTCTCACAGTGTCCTATCTGCCTGAATGCTTTAAAGATGGACCTTATGGCTCCCTGGGGCCTGGTACATTGTTCCAGGTGGAGTCAGTCACTCTTTTACTTGTTAGGTGTTTGTATGCGTGTGTATTTTGCTAAAATATTCAATCAGCATTCTGTGTGTGCACATTTTATAAAACAAGATGTCTATTTGTTTTTTCATTGATCAGATTGGCATAGTCCTAAAGTGTGACAACATGCTAAGCTGTCAAGTGGCTTTGAAATGCTGATGGTGGGGGTATGACGGTCAATGCCCTATTTAGCAATACCTACCAGACTTATGTACCCTGGAACCCAGAAATTCCAGGTTTGATAGGTAATATAAGAAAATTATGTGGCATCCTATAAAACACAATAATGTAATGTGGTTATATACGACAATACTGCAGTAAACAAGGAATATGAACAATCTAACTGCCCAGACAGGAAGCTTCCTCCCAGAAGCACCCCAATGGAATGCCATGTGTGTGGGGGGGAGGGCGGGGGGGGGGGATAAGGAATGAGCAGTTTTTATATTTTAGTTTGGGAAGTGCTCCAGGATATGTTGTTAAGTGAAAGAGACAGAAAGGTGCATAATGGCATGTGTGCTGTGCTCTTATGGTACAAGAGGAAAAGGAAGACTGCACAGATACGTTTTCTTGTGGTTGCATAGAAGGCTAGGGAGGTATGCCCAGGTAACCAGGAACTCTGTCGTGAAAAGGGATGCTAGTGACCGCAGGGTGGAGGAAGAGGAGAGCTTATTGAGAACAATTTTACAATGTCTTGAACCAGGAGGAGGCCATGCTTCCAAAAGACAAAGTGGGGAGGATGCCTCACAGAGAGGGCATGCGGGTTAGTCTTGGACGCAGGAGCGAGTTGGACAGTAGGGGCATCGTGGAGGTGGTGTCTTCCCCTGGAAACTCTGCAGGGGACATGGGCCATGAGCCTTGGAGAGCCAGGCTGGGTGCTGGGCTCTCTGAGAGAACCTTGGCCGTGACCTTACTCAAGGTGCACAGTAGGTTTAAATGGCCAGGCACTAAGTACCAGCATTGGGCAGGAGAAAAAAAACTGCCCGCGTTGGCAGATGGCCAAGTCCTCTTTTGTCCTGAGTGCACAGACAACCCTGGGCACAGGTGGGGCAAGCCCACACCCTGAGCTACTGCTGGCTCTGGCTCCTCTACCTGTATATGGAATGGGAAAACAAATCTTCAGTCAAAATTTGCCGGTATCGTACCACAATTTTCCCTTTGGCTTTATATTGTTGACTCAAGAAAGCAAAGGAAATGAGCATTTTCAATCCAGCATTATTCATATAAAAAAAAATCCTGGTTTAAAAACAAAACGGTTCCATTTGTCTTTTAATCACAGGACCAAGAAGGAAAAGCATTTCCGAGCCATGTGATTCCTGCCAAGTCTCTGCCTCACTGCTGAACCTGCAGGAGCCATCTGCTCCCTCATTTCCTCACCCCTTCATCCAGCAAGTCTTTCTTGAGCGCCTGCTGTATGCCAGGCTCTGTGCTGAGCACCAAAAGTGGAGATGAAAAATCCTGGAGGCAAAGTGAAAACTCAGCCAACGAGCCAGCTCCGGCACCGGCGGTGACTTTCTGGGTCCCAAATCCCAAGACCTGATCACCCTGGGTGTTTTTAGGAATTAAGACCGCTTCTCTGTCTCTAACTCCTGGCCCAAGCCTCATCTCTGTCCCCTGCTGCAACAGAGGGGACTCTAGGAGGAGGCCTCTTCCTCCCCCATTCATTTGGTGATTAAAACAGAGGATTTGAACTGGAATGCGGCCCTCAGGCAGAACAATTGGGAAGGGATGGGGTTTCCGACTCAGGTGGTGGAAACTTCAAATCAAAGAGACATCTTTTTCTCCCAAAGATAAATACCCCTTTCTCTTTCGCTCTCTCTCACCGTTTCTCCTTAATCCTGCCAGGAAATCTGAGCACAAAAGCTTTGCTGCTCCCAGTGCCGCAGTTTGAAAGGATTTAAGAAAAGCTGCAATCTTTTCAAACAATAAATAGGGGCACTTTCAGGACAGAGGCTGGGCTGTAGGGCTCCAGCTGCGCCCTCCAGATCCGACGGGGCCTGGAGAGAGGGGAACGGGGAGCCTGTGCACCCACACATCCCCACGCCCCCACAGCCCACCTGTGTCCCTGTGCTCTCCCTAGCCACCATACCTGAGCGCCTCCAGGATGGCCCTGTATGCCTCGTCACGGCGCTTCATGCCCACCAGGCTGGCGTCCCACTGCTGCAGGATGTGCCTTTTCTCTATGTGGATGGCGTCGATCTCCATGCAGGCCTACAGCCGAGGTGGAGGGGGCGTGAGCATTGTTTTTTTAATTGCACTTTTATTAAGTATGGGCATTGTCATAACTATTATACGTATACTAATTTAACACTCATTTTTTTCATTTAATATTTTATAAAGTTTAGATTTGAGGGTACACGTGGGTGTTTGCTACACAGACATGTTGTGTTGTGGTGGGGATTGGGTCTCGGGTGGCCCGTTCCCCAGAGAACATTGTGCCCCTGAACCCTGACCCTCCTCCCCCCTTGTCTATTATCTGCATCTTGTGACAGTTTAGCTCCCGCCTAGGTGTGAGAACACGCAGTGTTTGGTTTTCTGTTTCTGAGTCAGTTTGCTTAGGATGATCTCAAGCTCCACCCATGTTGCTGAAAAGGACATGATTTCATTCTTTTTTATGGCTGTGTAGTAGTCCATGGTGTATATGCACCACATTTTCAGTATCCATAGATCAGTTGATGGGCATTTAGGTTGAACCCACATCTTTGCAGTTGTGAACTGTACTGTGATGAACACGTGGGTGCAGGTGTCTTTGTTATAGAACCACCTCTGTTCCTTAGGGTAGATGCCTAGTAGTGGGATTGCTGGATCAAATAGTAGATCTACTTTGAGTTCTTTTTTTTTTTTGAGTTGGAGTCTTACTCTGTCGCCCAGACTGGAGTGCAGTGGCCGCTCCCGGCCACCGCAGCCTCGACCTGCTGGGCTCCAGCGATCCTTCCGCCTCAGCCTTCCGAGTAGCTGGAACTACAGGTGCGTGCTACCATGCCCGGCTAATTTTTGATTTATTGTAGAGATGAGGTCTCACCAAGTTGCCCAGGCGGATCTCAAACCCGCAGGCTCAGGCATTCCACTCACCTCGGCCTCCCAAGGCACGGGATTACAGGCTGAACCACCGAGCACGGCTTACTTTTAGTTCTTTGAGTAATCTCCATGCCACTTGAACGTCTGTCTTATTTCACCCATGAGTGAAGCCCCAAACAATGCCAGAGCACAATGTTCCTGAATCAGCCTCTTTTCCTTATCTCACCTGCACTTTCCTTCATCGTATATCAGCATGATTGATAGGAGTAAACACAAGACTAAATGCAGCTTTGAGGAAAATGTGCACATCCCTCGGAGGTTTTTGCTCAGGGCCTGCGGTGTTCAGTGTTTGGAAATGAGGAGGAGAGGGAGAGGAGAGAAAAGAGGGATAGGTAGAGGGGGAGGAGGAGGAGGAAGAGGCTTTCAGCATCAATGGCACGCCTGCTACAGGCCAGACACCCAGGCGGGCTTGGTGGTGTCATTGATTCAGGCCAAGGTCACACGGGATGCGTCCAACACCCCTTCCTGTAGGGAGCCCATGCTCGAAGGAGGCGGTGTTGGTCTGGAGACTGAGAGCATTCTGGGAACGAGGAAGCAGAGCTGGACAAGCAGGGGTGGGCAAGGGCGTCCAGAGGTCAGGGCAGGCTGAGGGGAGGCTGATGTCCTGCAGCTTCTCAGTGGTGGCTCAGGACCAGCTGGGATAAGGGCTTGGGCATGTGTAGGGGAAGGGCTTGAAAATTAGCTGGATGGTTTGGGAATTTATTCCAAGGGCAAGGAAGGTTCATTTATGCTGGTTCGTTGATGCCGGGGTTGGTTCGGCTGCCTGGGCTTGAGTTCCGTGCGCTGTGGGCAGGCCACCTTGTCTCACTGTGTTTCAGTGTCCCCAGTGGTGATGTGGGCACAGGAGGAGTACTTGCTCCCTGGGGCTTGCTGTCAAATGAATTGAAGCTGCACACCCAGCACAGCCTCAATCCCAGCCATGGCTTTGAGTGGTACCCCGATGAATCCCCCTAATACAACCATTGTGACTTTAGCAAGCTGGTGGCCCCGAGTCAGCCAACTCGAGTGCTGTCTTGTACAGCACTGAGTCCCGGAAGTATCTGCACATGGTGACATTCACACGTGCTTGGAAGACTGACAGAAATCAGTGACGAACATTCACAGGGAGACAGCGCTGGGCACAAAAGGGAACGTCGCCTGGAAACACCATGTTCAGCTGTGAGGGTTTAGAAAACTCATCTATCCATTATTATTAGCATACAACGGCATGAGTTGAGTATACTACGAGCAGTGAACATATTTTTCCTCTCACAGATGTTTACTGAGAACTGTTGGGCAGCCTAGGAAGGGGCATTTTGCACGTCTAGGCAGTGACTTCCCCTTCTTTTTCTTTCTTTTAAGTTTTAGTTGACACATTATCATAGTGTATATATACATGGGTACAGAGGGCCATTTCAATTCAAGTATAATGTGCAATGATCACGTCTGGGTAATTGGCATATCCATCACTTCAAACGACTACCATCTCTTTGTGTTGGGAACATTCACTATCCTCTCTTCTAGCTATTTGAAAATATGTAATAAGCTGGGCTTGGTGGCTCCGCCTGTAATCCCAGCGCTTTGGGAGACTGAGGTGAGTGGATTGCCTGAGCCCGTGGGTTCGAGACCCGCCTGGGCAACTTGGTGAGACCTCATCTCTACAATAAATCAAAAATTAGCTGGGCGTGGTAGCACGCGCCTGTAGTTCCAGCTACTTGGAAGGCTGAGGTGGAAGGATTGCTGGAGCCCAGCAGGTTGAGGTTGCGGTGGCTGGGAGTGGCCACTGCACTCCAGTCTGGGTGATAGAGTGAGACTCCAACTCAAAAAAAAAAAAGAAGAAAATGTATAATAAAATGTTAACTATAGTCACCCTACAGTGTCACAAAACACTAGAACTTATTCTTTCTATCTAGTTAGAACGGTGTATCCATTAACCAGTCTCTCCCTGTCCTCCCCTCTGCCTCCCTTCCCAGACTCTAATAACCACAATTCTCTCTGCTTCCTTGAGTTCACATTTTTTTAGTGAGCAAGAACATGTGGTGTTTATCTTTTGGTCCTGGCTTATTTCACTCAATATAGTGATCTCCAGTTCCATGCTGCCTCAAATGACAGGATGTAACTCTTTTTAAAGGCTGAATAGTATTCTATTGTGTAAACACACCACATTTTCTTTATTCATTCTTCTGCTGACAGAAATGTAGTTTGTTTCCACATCTTGGCTATTGTGAATAGTGCTGCAATGAACGTGGGAGTGCAGATGTCTCTTCGATGCATTGATTTCCTTTTCTTCGGGTAAATGCCCAGTAGTGGGACCGCTGGGTCATGTTTGAAAGGACAGACAGAGTGGGAAGCCATTTTTTATCTTGTTCTTAAACCCTGACACAGTGATGAGAAAGCAGAAGCTATGTATTTGGAGAAATGCACACTTTAGGTAAAATTAACTTTACCGACTTTGTCTTTTCAGAAACAGACTTCCTGGTGCCAGGTATCAGAGGTATCTCACAGTGTCAATCAAGCTTGCCTAGAGTAAAGGGAATCTGCAAGGCCTAAGATATCACACATTGGTCAAGGATTGGAAAAGTCATGAAACCTGTAATTACAAAAGTTACCACCACTCAGAGGGAGAGCAGGTAGGGATTCGATCTTTCAGTAAATTGGGCCCTATCTACTGGGAAGCCAAGGATCCCCGGAAGCTCCCCACTGGGAATGCATAGGAGATAAGGGGAGGTGCACCCTCCATTAGCTCTAAGGAATGTCATTTGGTAAGGTGCAGGAGCATTTGAACCCTTGTCACGCCCTTCTGTATGGGCTATGATAATATGGACAGACATTAATGGGTCTCTGTGTCACAGGATCTCCAAGACACCCACAGGTGGTCAATAAGGAAGTCACGGCAGTCATGTGCAACCTTTCCAAGGAAAAGGATTTAAGCCAGGACTTTGGGGGACTACAATGCCACACTCACCTAGAGTGTGGGCCTGCTCCCTGTCTGTGGGGGTTGGACTTTTCTTAAATAAATCTTATCTTCTTTCACCTCTGTGTGTTGCAATTCTTTGCATTTACTCAAATCTTGGGGTTGCCAGTGTGCACCTCCAGCGGTGCTGCTCCTCTCCCTACACCTCTCCTCTCTCTCCATCCATACACCCTCACCCTGATCGGACCCTAACAATGTTTTTGTATTTGGGTAAGTTATGAACTAAGGAGGCTGCTTTATGCCATTGAGCAGTGCAAGCACGGCCCAAACGTGCTGGCAAGGTGGGGATCCAAATCTGGCAATTGAGACAGGGTCTCACTCTGTCACCCAGGCTGGAGTACGGTAGCATGATCATAGCTCACTGCAGCCTCAACCTCCTGGACTCAAGTGATCCTCCCACCTAAGCCTCCCATGTTGATGGCACTACAGGCAATGGAGCTTTTAGTGTACAAAAATGTTATCTGCCTGCATCTTCTTTAGTAGTATCCTGGGAGTAGAATCCAAGTAGTGATATGCGGCAGTAGGGGGCAGAAGGAGGGAGTTAGCTGCCTGGTGCAATACTGCCCTTGAGAAAGATCTTGATGAAAACCAATCTGGCATTTTCACAATCAGCGTGGGAGGGCCTACCTTCCCTCTGTTCCCCTTTATCTTTGCTAACTTGATAGGGCACTCCTTGTTCTTCAGTTTCTCGCTGCTTCCCTCAAAGAATGTCTATGACGGTCATGCAGTGGTCCCAGAATGTTCTGGGTGCTGGGAATAAGAAATGAACAAAGTGCGGGCGGCCTCTGCTGTGGTGGAGACATACGGAGGAGAGGGGCTGGAGGTGCAAAACAAAACCACCTGTCTGGTGTAGCGCCTGTCACTCCAGTGGACACAAGTGCACAGGGCATTCCTTCTTGACAGTTGACATCTCTCCACACCTCCAGATTCACAAATTTCTACAAGCCTGTTTTCTCCTGGTATGTTTCCATCTCTGCATTTTTTTTTTTTTTTTTGAGTTGGAGTCTCACTCTGTCACCCAGACTGGAGTGCAGTGGCCACTCCCGGCCACCGCAGCCTCGACCTGCTGGGCTCCGGCGATCCTTCCGCCTCAGCCTTCCAAGTAGCTGGAACCACAGGCGCATGCTACCACACCTGGCTAATTTTTTTTTATTTATTTATTGTAGAGATGAGGTCTCACCAAGTTGCCCAGGCGGGTCTCGAACCCGCGGGCTCAGGCAATCCACTCACCTCGGCCTTCCAAAGTGCTGGGATTACAGGCTGAGCTACCGAGCCTGGCCCCCATCTCTGCATTTGTTGGTGGTGTCCATAATCTACTGAGGTTTCATTGTCGGTGTGGTCCACCCTCCTAATCTCCTCTAAGGTTCCTGCTTTTGGTGTTATGCTCAGAAAGGCCTCTCCAACCCAGGATTATATAAATGTTTTCATTTGTTTTCTTCTGGTACATTTTCCCCCATTTAAATACTTGATTCTATCTGGAATTTATTTTACTGTCTCATATGAGGAAAACATTTAATTTTTTTCACAAATGATTAACCAAATGTCCTGACATCATTGGATACATAACTCATTAGTTCTCTGCTAATTTAGAATCGACTAGATTTTTATATAAACTTTGGCGTGTTTTGGGGCTCTCTCATAGGCTTCAACATCTTGCCTGTCTATCCTTGTCACACATTATTTTAACCTCTAGAGCTTTAGAGTATATTTTAATATTTGGTAGGGCAATGCTAGGGTGACTCACCATCCTGGTGTGCCCAGGACACGCTGGGATTAGCATGGAAGATCCCTCATCTGGGAGACCCCTCAGTCCTGGGCAAACCAGGATGGCTGCTCACCCTGTGTGAATCTTCCCTTCCAAAACAACTCTTGGCTAACTCTCCTAATTCTCAGGTAAACTCAAGTCACTTTGTTAATACAGAAATTGTTTTTTCCCTCAAGATTTTTTTTTTTTTTTGGTCAGGGTCTCACTGTTGCCTCAGGCTGGAGTGCAGTAGCACAATTATGGCTCACTGCAGCCTCCACCTTCTGAGCTTAGGTGATCCTTCCACCTCAGTTTCCCAAGCAGCTGGGACTACAGGCACAAGTCACCATGCCTGGCTAATTTTTGGATTTTTTGTAGAGATAAGGTCTTGCTATGTTGCCCAGGCTGGTCTCAAATTCCTAGGCTCAAGCGAACCTCTCATCTCAGTCTCCCAAGGTGCTGAGATTATAGGTGTGAGCCACCATGCCTGGCCTCCCCTGAGATTCTGACTGGGACACACTCCATGTCAATTATATCTAGGTGGAGAGAACAGGCAGCTGGACACTACTGAGTCTTGTGCCCTCCTGTCACCCTGGGACCCAGGCATGCTTGTCCACTCATTCAAATTCCCTTTTTTTCATTTTCAAACAAAAAGTGTATTGTTTCCTTTATGTCATTCCTGCACATATGAATGCAGATAGTGTCTCACAGATTTCTTTAAAAAGTTAAAAGTAGCTGGGCTCGGTGGCTCAGCCTGTAATCCCAGTGCTTTGGGAGGCCATGGTGAGTGGATTGCCTGAGCCCACGGGTTCAAGACCCGCCCGGGCAACTTGGCGAGATCTCATCTCTACAATTAATCAAAAATTAGCTGGGCGTGGTAGCGTGCGCCTGTAGTTCCAGCTACTTGGAAGGCTGAGGCGGAAGGATTGCCAGAGCCCAGCAGGTTGAGGTTGTGGTGGCCGGGAGTGTGCCACTGCACTCCAGTTTGGGTGACAGAGTGAGATTCCAATTCAAATAAATAAAATAAAATAAAACAAAAGTAACTTTGGTTTCTGGTGTTGACCATCACAGGACTGAATCTGGTGCTGAGAAAAGCAGCTTTTATTTTTGAGTTGGAGCATCACCATTACCCAGGCTGGAGTGCAGTGGCACGCTCATGGCCACCGCAGCCTCGACCTGCTGGGTTCAGGCAATCCTTCTGTCTCAGCCTTCTAAGTTGCTGGAACTACAGGCGTGTGCTACAACGCTGGCTAATTATTTTTGATTTATTGTAGAGACGAGGTCTTGCCAAGTTGCCCAGGCTGGTCTTGAACCCATGGGCTCAGGCAATCCTCTCGCCTTGGTCTCCCAAAGTGCTGGGATTACAGGCTTGAGCCACTGAGCCTAGCCGGTAGCTTCTATACAGTTAGTCACCTCTGCTCCCTACTCCATACGGGGCAGAGATGTGGGTGCTGCGGGGAGCGCCAGCTGCCCACGGCTGGGATTGATTAGAAAGAGGCCCCCTGCAGGTTAAGGAACTTGAAGGGTCCCCCAGCAAGCTGGCATCAGATGTGCATGGAGAGAACAGAATGCCTGAATTCCTGCTGGACCTTACAGTCACCCACTGGCCATCACAGGGATGAAAATATCAGCCATCAATCTTCAGTATCTGCTACACCCCACCATGGGGAGGGTCAGAAGTTCTCAGATGCTTAAGGAGATGTGCAGAGGTGCAAAACCCGGCTCCCACCCTGAAGGAGTTCGCAGACTAGCTGGGACAGACAGTTGGTTCTAGCCATTCATTCAACAGACCATCAGTGTCACGTGTGGTGGCACTAACTGGGTGCTCCAGCCACAGAGAGCTCATTACCTCGCTCTTACCTCGCTGACTGCTTTCCTTAGAATCCGGGTGTCCTCAGCTTGGGCAAAGTTCTGAGCCTCAAACAGAGCGATGTTTTCCTCCAGCTGGTTGGCTCGGGTGGTAAGCTGGTCCACGTAGAGGTCCTGGGACACAGGACGGGGAGATGCACAGTAAGGCCTGTCTGTGCCTAAGGGGCACTTGTCCACCGGCCCTGGGCCCAAGTCAGTGCAACTGAGCTTGGCCCCCACCCCTCCAGGCTGCAGCGTTCACGCACGTGGTCATTAAACATGTGTCGAATCTGAAGAATACCTGCTTTTTCTTCTCGATTTCTGCCCGTGCGCTCTCCGTCTCGGCCTTCTTCACCACTTGCTTCATCACGCAGATGTCGTCGCGCACATCCTGGTCTATGTTCTGCATGTAGAAGAGGTGCAGGGCCAAGCTCTCCAGCTCTGTCTGCAGAGTCGCCACTGTGGGAGAGAGCAGGAGGCTGTTCCAGCCTCCTCCATGCAGAGACCCAAACTCTGGGCCCCCTTCCCATAGCTTAAGGTGAGACCAGGAAACTGCTTTTAAACTATCCAGACCCAGCCGGGCTCGGTGGCTCAGCCTGTAATCCCAGTGCTTTGGGAGGCTGAGGTGAGTGTGTTGCCTGAGCCCGCGGGTTCGAGACCCGCCTGGGCAGCGGGACCTCATCTCTACAATAAATCAAAACATCAGCCAGTCGTGGTAGCGCATGCCTGTAATTCCAGCTACTCGGAAGGCTGAGGCGGAAGGATCGCCGGAGCCCAGCAGGTCGAGGCTGCGGTGGCCGGGAGCGGCCACTGCACTCCAGTCTGGGCGACAAAGTGAGACTCCAAATCAAAACAAAACAAAACAAAACAAAACTATCCAGACCCAAACTCTGCCACCAAAGAGTTGACCATCTCCCTGAAGAGACAAAAATAAATGGACTCTACATCCACCAATTGTGACAAGCTGTTTCCCATCGTGTCGTTGAGATCCTCCCTGTAGTCTAAGGATGTACTGAAATAGTGTCGGATTTGTAGATTTCTTAGCATTGAAAAGCGAGGACGCTTAGCTAGAGCCCGAAGTCCTCTAGGAGGAAATCAGAGCACAGAGGCCACGGAAGCCCCTGCACCAACACTGCCACACAGCAGAGCCCGGCGGAGAGGGCGAGGGCTGACACTCGGGCTGGGGCTCCAAGAGGCAGTACTTTCTACTCGCACAGAGTCAGAAGAGACCAAATCCTGAGGAACTGTTTCCTTGAACAAAGCTCACGTAAGCTTGATTTATGAGGTCTGACAATTAGGTTTGCAAACTTGCCACCAGGCGTTTATGTTGGCAGCACTGTACAAACTCTCAGTAAGGTTTCATAACCTTGGTATATTGGTGTCTCACAGCTGTGTTCCTGTCGACGTGTGGCAGTGTCTTGCTGGGTGCTGTTCATTATTATTGTTGCGTGTTTTTGTGTGCTGTCACGAGAATGTCAGAGCTTGAGTTAGAGCAATGGACAGACATTATGTTTTCTTGTTAAACTTGGCAAGAGTGAAAGTGAAATCAAGGACATGTTAGTCCAAGTTTATGGGGATAATGCCATGAAGAAAATGGCGGTGTACAAATGGATGAAATGTTTTTCTGAGGGGAGAGAAAGTGTAACTGATGAAGAGAAGTCAGGAAGGTCAGTAACAAGCAGAACTGATGAAAACGTTGCAAAAATCCATCAAATTATGCATCAAAATCATTGGGTGACTGTGAGAAGCATAGCAGACAAATAAACATAGATAGAGAAACAGGAAAATCTTAACTTTAAAATCTTGGTATGAGAAAGGTAGCTGGGCTTGGTGGCTCAGCCTGTAATCCCAGCGCTTTGGGAGGCTGAAGTGAGGGGATTGCCTGGGCCTGCGGGTTCGAGACCCACCTGGGCAACTTGATGAGACCTCATCTCTACAATAAATCAAAAAATTAGCCGAGCGTGGTAGCGTGTGCCTGTAGTTCCAGCTACTTGGAAGGCTGAGGTGGAAGGATCACTGGAGCCCAGTAGGTCGAGGCTGCAGTGGCCGGGAGCAGGCACTGCACTCCAGTCTGGGTGACAGAGTGAGACTCCATCTCAAAAAAAAAAAAAAAAAAAGGTGTGTGCAAAAACGGTCCTGAAGGAGCTCTTGTATCATGACAATGTACCAGCTCACATAGCACTGTCTATGAGGGAATTTTAGGCAAGAAACAAATAACTGTATTGGAACACCCTCCCTACTCACCTGATCTGGTCCCCAGTGACGTTTTTCTTTACCCCAAGATAAAGGAAATATTGAAAGGAAGACATTTTGATGGCATTCAGGACATCAAGGGTAACACAATGGCAGCTCTGATGGCCATTCCAGAAAAAGTACACCCAAAATTGCTTTGATGGGTGGACTAGGTGCTGGTGTTGGTGCATATTTCCCAAGGGGAATACTTTGAAGGTGATAGTAGTGATATTCAGCAATGAAGTATGTAGTGCTCTTTCTAGGATGAATTTGCAAACTTAATTGTCAGACCTCATATAAAGCTGGACCAGTGTATTTTTTTTTTAAATTTAATTTTAAAGATGTAGGGTAAAATTCAGGGCTAAGTACACAAATGTTCATTATGCAGTTACTCTTGTTGATAAGGTAGAACACCCGTGTATTTAGGGAGCTGTCCCTCCACCAATAATTGCTTACTCACTTGTACAGAGCATTGCTTTTCAGTGGACAGATACAAACAGAAAACTGAATTACAGATCAAAAGTTTGCTAGATGAACACTGCATTGAGTCAGGTGTTCTCGAAGAATATAGCTTAAACTTGAAAAACAATTTTAAAAATACTTGTTGAAAAACTCCCAACACTAGAAAACACTCTAGTCTCCCGTATGGGTAGGAATTATGGGGGAGGGGGAGGTGTGGAAGCACGGGCACCAGGTGGGAGACTTTGTAGAGGTCACAGTGGTGTTAGAGAGGAGAGGAGAGATCTGAGATGTGTTTGGGCCCTTTGTCATAAAAGTGTACCAATACCAGGCTGTTTTGATTATTGTAGTTTTAAAATAAAGTTTGAAGTCTTGAAGCGTGATACCTCCTGCTTTGTTTCTTTTGCTAAGGATTGTTTTGGCTATTTGTGGTCATTTATGTTTCCATATGAATTTCTCTATTGTTTCCAGATCTGAGAAGAATGATGTTGGTAATTTAATGGTTATTGCATTGAATCTGTAGATTGCCTTGGGTAGGATGGACATCTTAACAATGTTGATTCTTCCAAATCCATGAGCATGGAATATTTTTCCACTTATTTGTGTCATTTTCGACTTCTTTGAGCAGTGTTTTGTAGTTTTCGTTGTAAGGTCTTTCACGTCTCTGGTTAGGAAGATGCTGAGGCATTTCATTTGTTGTTGTTGTTGTTGTTGTTGCTATTATGAATGGGATTGTGCTTTTTATTTGGTTCTCTGTCTGTTTATTGTTGGTGTATAAGAATACAACTGTCAGCCGGGCTTGGTGGCTCAGCCTGTAATCCCAGCACTTTGGGAGGCTGAGGTGAGTGGATTGCCTGAGCCCGTGGGTTCGAGATCCACCTGGGCAAATTGGCGAGACCTCATCTCTACAATAAATCAAAAATTAGCCAGGCGTGGTAGCACGCGCCTGTAGTTCCAGCTACTTGGAAGGCTGAGGCGGAAGGATCAACGGAGCCCAGCAGCTCGAGGCTGCGGTGGCCGGGAGCGGCCACTGCACTCCAGTCTGGGCGACTGAGTGAGACTCTAACTCATAAAAAAAAAAAAAAAAAGAATACAACTGTCTTTTGCACATTGATTTTGTACCCTGAGACTTTGTCAAAGTCCTTTATCAGTGCAGGTTTTTGACAGATCCTCTTGGCTCAGCCTCACTAATCATTAAAGAAATGCAAATTAAAACCACACTGAGATACCACCTAACTCCAATCAGGATGGCCATCATCAATAACTCAAAAAACAACAGATGCTAGAGAGGCTGCAAGGAAAAAGGAACATTTCCACACTGTTGGTAGGAGTATAAATTAGTACAACCTCTGTGGAGAACAGTGTGGCGGTCGCTAAAGATTTAGAAATTGACCTTCCATATGACCCAGCAATTCCCCCTCTGGGAATATACCTGGAGGAACTCAAATCATTCTATAAAAAAGATATCTGCGTATGCGTGTTTATTGCAGCATTATTCACAATAACAAAAACAAGGAACCAACCGTGCTGCCCATCAAAAGTTAGACTGGATAAAAAAATGTGGTACAAGCCGGGCTCGGTGGCTCAGCCTGTAATCCCGCGCCTTTGGGAGGCTGAGGTGAGTGGATTGCCTGAGCCGGCGGTTTCAAGACCCGCCTGGGCAGCCAGACCTCATCTCTACAGTAAATAAAAAAAAATCAGCCGGGCGTGGTAGCGCATGCCTGTAATTCCGGCTACTCGGAAGGCTGAGGTGGAAGGATCACTGGAGCCCGGCAGGTCGAGGCTGCGGTGGCTGGGAGCGACCACTGCACTCCAGTCTGGGCAACAGAGTGAGATTCCAACTCAAAAAAAAAAAAAAAAAAAAAAGTGGTACATATACATGATGAAATGTTACACAGTCATAAAGACAAAATTGTGACGTTCACAGCAACTTGAATGGATTTATAGTCTATAATACCCAGTGATCAATCACAAAAACAAAGAACTGAGTACCACTTGTTCTCACTCATAAGCAGACCCAGAACAATTGTCATAAAACTATAACAAAGGGATTGGCAGTAGTAGGACACCGCCAGGGGAGTGGAGGGGCACACTTCATCAATAAAGGTACTGATCTCAAACCAGGCAAAGTGGGGACCAAACTCAGGCCCAAACTTTACTTGTACGATGACCATTTGTATACCTATTCCTGAATTGTACCCCACATCTTTAAAGTAAATTAATAATAAAGAATATGCCTTGTTTTCTCTGGTTGCTTATAAGGTTTTCTCTTTACAGCTTGTTTTAATCAGTTTGGTTTACAATGTGCCTTGGTGTAGTTTTCCTCATATATCTTGTGCATGGGGTTCATTGTCGCTCTTGTATCTGTGGGTTTATGGTTTTTGCCAAATTTGGAAATTTTTCATCCAGGGTTTCTTTTAATATTTTTCCTGTTTTCCTTTTCCTCTGATATATGTGTATATGGGCCACTTGAAGTTATTTCTTTGCTTACAGATTTTCTGTTTTGTTTTGTTTTTTTCCCTTTTTCTTCGGTCTTTTTTCCTCTCTGTGTAATTTTGGGTAGTTTCTATTGTAGCGATTTCTGGTCACTGCATTTTTGCTCATTTTAACTATAATAATAGTTAATTGGAGTTAATTCCTTCAAGCGAGATTGTTGTATGAAAATGTGCTTGCTTTATTTTGGGGAAGGAGTTGCCCAGCTGCTCTGTGAGGAGACTGTTACATCTTATCCTCTGTTCTAGGCTGAGTGGCTTCTCCCACAAAGTATC